CTTGCATTAACGTCGTGATGTGTTTTGATTACGGTCATACAGTTGTGTTGAAAATAATAGCAGTGTGTTGAAAAAAGTGAATAAAGATCAAAATCCTTCTAATAGCTTTTATTTCCATACACATAAATGCATTGGGAACACGACACATTCTATTCCAAATTAAAACATGAAGAAAAATGTATCAAATTTGTGTTGTTCCTCTAAACATTTTTTTGAAAAGTGAATATTAGACTGTTCAAGAAAATATCAGTGCTTGTATTCTTCTTTACAAATTCAAACATTCACTATATAAACTGAAAAATGTTTGAATATTTTGCTTTCCTTTGAATCACTTAATTAATATTTAGTTGTATAAGCACTGCTTCTGAGAACTGCTGTACATCTGTGTTGCATGGAGTCAACCAACTTCTGGCACCTGTGAACAGGTATTCCAGCCCAGGATGATTAGACTACATTCTACAGTTCTTCTCTATTTCTTGGTTTTGCCTCAGAAACTGCATTTTTGATGTCACCCCACAAGTTTTCTATTGGATTAAGATCCGGGGATTGGGCTGGCCACTCCATAACGTCAATCTTGTTGGTCTGGAACCAAGACGTTGCACGTTTACTGGTGTGTTTGGGGGTCGTTGTCTTGTTGGAACACCCATTTCAAGGGCATTTCCTCTTCAGCATAAGGCAGCATAACCTCTTCAAGTATTCTGATGTATTCAAACTGATGCATGATCCCTGGTATGCGATAAATAGGCCCAACACCGTAGTATGAGAAACATCCCCATATCATGATGCTTGTGCAACTAGACCCAAAAAGAACAATCTTACTTTCATCAGTCCACAAAATGTTGCGCCATTTCTCTTTAGGCCAATCAATGTGCTCTTTGGCAAATTGTAACCTCTTCAGCACGTCTTTTTTTCAACAGTGGAACTTTGCGGGGGCTTCTTGCAGATAGCTTGGCTTCACATAGGTGTATTCTAATTGTAACAGTACTCACAGGTAACTTTACACCTTCTTTGATCTTCCTGGAGCTGATTGTTGGCTGAGTCCTTGCCATTTTGGCTATTCTTCTATCCATTCGAATGGTAGTTTTTCGCTTTCTTCCATGTCTTTCAGGTTTTGGTTGCCATTTTAAAACATTTGCGATCATTTTAGCTGAGCAGCCTATCATTTTCTGCACTTCTTTATATGTTTTCCCCTCTCCAATCAACTTTTTAATCAAGGTACGCTGTTCTTCTGAACAATGTCTGGAACAACCCATTTTCCTCAGAATTTCAGACAGAAATGCACTGTAAGCAGCATGTACAACATTTGCTGCCTTCCTTCCTTAAATAAGGGCAATAATTGCCACCTGTTTTTCAAAGAATGAATGACCTCACTAATAGAACTCCACACTGCTATTATTTTGAACATGCCCCTTTCAATTAGTGATTCAATTACACAGAATCAGCAGCATGCATGTCATGACTGTTGGGTCTGTTGGATTTCTATTACTCTACTACATCTGCTAGTAAATTATTTGATATGTAGAAATATCATTTCTACCAAAAACAGTGATTGATCAGGTTAGTGATGTCTGGCTGCTATTATTTTGAACACAACTGTATATGTCACTCTGTACATCTATAATTTTTAACATAATGGTTGTTCTGTTAAGGTGTTACTAAACCCAGGACCCTGCATTCATAATATCTGGTCTCCCACAGTATATGGAAATGCAACTATTTTAGTAAATATAAACTGATAAATACTTTTTTCATCAGCAGTAGAAGTCTTGTGACTTCTATCAGAGTTTGGCCAAGCACTAGTTAATCTTGTAGCAGGAGTTTTCAAACTCATCTGACTGTCCTATGAGGCTGGATAACCCCTGACACTCTGTCTGGACAGTGCTGATTGGTCCTGTGCTGATCACATGCACCCTCCCAAGGAAAAAAATACACACCAAACTGAGCAGGTGCAGAGTGACTCTTAGAGCTCTGTACTATCAGCAGATGGATTGAGGACAGTAGAAGAAGGGGAGGATCAAACAGCCTTTTTACAAAATGCGGAGGATTAACCCCTTAGGCTCCACAGTGAGTATAACAAGCATGCTTTACTGCATATACAGACTGATGTTACTGTTTTGGGTTTAGTAACACTTTAAGACTTAAATGGTAACTCCACTTTCATGAGAAAAAAAATAGCAAATAAAAAGCCATATTGTAATTGAATGTCATTAAAAATTACCTTTCCTTTTCAGTCTGTAGCTCTGTAATCTTCTGTAAGATGTAATGCAATATGGCTGCCTGGAGGTGTTCTGCACAGAGATGGTGTACAGAACGCCCCCCAGAAATGGCATTTCCTGTTTGAGTGATTGGCTCAATGATTTTCCTAGAAGTCTGCACTAAGATGCAAGTCAGATTATGAGCAACCCCTGCCCCCCCGCAACAAAAATGTCATTTTTGGTGAGCTACTCCCAAAGGGAAATCCTGTCTAAGACCTGGTTCATATTTGTGTGACTTGTCATGCGATATGACACTTCCAAATTGCATGACAAGTTGCAGCCTATTTGTGCCTATGGAACTATTCAAATTTGTGCAACTCAGATGCCAGGCAGATGCCAGGCAAGCCACACATAAAATATGACAGACCAGTGGCTTTGAAATCGTGCTGCTGCAAGTGAAGAAGCGTGATTCAAAGTCACATTTAGTGTGAACAAAGGCGAAAGGGATGCAGGCCCTGCCAATTTCCTCATTAGAGCCATGCAGGTGCAGCAGCTGATTGATAATTATGAAGTCACTCCCATACAGATTCACTCCGCACATGGACACAGACAAACAAACTGCCATATTTTAAGAATAACAAAAGGTAGGAATCTGCAACAAAGTTTAAAATTTCTGCAACGTACATAGATTACCCAGAGGGGAATGTTTGTTTGTAAGCAAAAGATGAGTTAATCTTCAGGTGGTTTATTCTCTCAGTGTTTGAAACACCTATGCTATGTGCCAAGTTGATGGTCATGACTTGCTTTTGTTCTTGAATTGAAAATCTTACAAAATTTTATTAAAAAAATAACATTATTAAAAAAAAGTTTACTTTTTCACATGTTTGCATGTAGTTATAGAAAGGTTTGTGTTTCCTGGAGTAAATGCTGTTCCAGGCTCCCTTCACTGTTGGCCACATGGGTAAAGGTCTATGGCTCACATACATCACAGAGCACAGGAGTATCGGTATCCACTGTTGCCTAATGAATGGGCCAAAAGTTCTGATGGGTGCATTGCACCACCATGGTAAAATTGCCTTTGGATGGTCCAAGTAAAGGCAGCTGTAAAATGATTATGTGGTGCCTATTCTTTATGACCTCAAAGGGTGGGGAAGAAAACCCTGTACTAGACGGTTACTACACCTATTTATTTATTACAGGTAAATATATAGCGTTGTCAATTTATGCAGTGCTTTACATATATATATTGTACATTCAGGTTAGTCCCTGCCCTCAAGGAGCTTACTTTTTTTTTTTTTTTTTTTTTTTTAATATTTATTAATTTTTTACATTATTACAAAAATTCCTTAAGAAGAGACACAATACATATAAATATCAATACATTTCTACTCTGTCCCTTCTATTTACCTCTTTTCTTTCCCTTCCCTCCCTCCCAACCCACCATTTCCCCCCCTTCCCCCCCTCCCTCCCCTCTGCAAGATCTCCAATCTCTCTAGGCCCAGTAACTTCGAATAACTTCCTAGTTTAGAGTTTTCTATATTTCTCTTTCAATCCCGATTTTTCCCATTTTTCCCATCGTGAATAGTATATTTTCATCCTGTCTTCCTGAATATGATAAGATTTTTCCATTCTGCTAATCTGGTTTACCCTATTGATCCAATCCTCCTCCGTTGGTACCTCTGTCTTCCGCCAAAACTTGGGGATCAACCCTTTTGCAGCACTTAAGTAGTACCATACACCTGATTCTTTATATTTATTTACTGTTGTCTCAACACTATGTAGGAGACACATGGTTGGGTCTAATCCTATGTCATTTCCAGTTATTATTTCTATTAATTTGACTATTGTCTTCCAGAAAACCTGAATTTTTGGACATTGCCACCATATGTGAAACACCGTGTCCTCTTCCCCACATCCTCTCCAACACATTTTGAATTCTCCCCCCTCATCCTGTGCTCAGTGCTCGGTGTAATATGCCATCGTGTCAAACATTTATAGTTAATCTCAACGTCTCTCATACTAACATTCTCGTGAACTAGTCTTAATATCTTATTCTGTTGATCTTCATCTATCCCCACCCCCATATCTCTTTCCCAATTTGTTATAAAAATTAACTTTGTATCTGTGTCTAGTTCTGTAAGTATTCTATACATTTTTGTAACACCGTGTTTCCCATCTCTACGTGTTTCCCATCTCTACGTGTTTCTAATAGCCTTTCAAACATATTCCACTCCTTTTTTAATCTCAAGGGTTTTGGGAGAGTTCCTATAAAACATTTTAATTGATGATATTTCCACTCATCTATTTTAGTAAACATATCTCCTCCCATCTCTTTTAATTTTTAAATGTTCTCAATTCCCCCTCTACCAATACGTCTCTCAATTGGATATCTTCCTTTTTAAACCATCTCCCTGATATCTCATCTTTTCCTGGGGGGAAAAATTCCGTGTTTGCAAGAGGCCCCTCAAGGAGCTTACAATCTAAGGTCCCTAACTTGTGTTCATACATACTCATACTGGGGCTAATATAGACAGGAGCCAATAAATCCACCAGCATGTCTTTGGAGCGTGGGAGGAAACTGGAGTACCCAAGGAAACCCATGCAGGCACAGGGAGAACATGCAAACTCCAGGAGGTAGTGCCATGGTTGGGATTCTAACCAATGAGCCTACAGCTGCCAGCTGCTTAGCCACAGGGCTGCCCTCTTTTTTTATTTAAAAAATCTTTTAAAATAATTTATTTGAATAAACTTTTATTTATTATTACTTTTGCAATTAAAGACATCATAGATAGAAGATAGTTATACCTCTTTCGGAGACAGAATGGATATGTAGTCTTCATATATTAATCTAGCTTTCTCTTCTATGACATTTTTGTTAGATTCCTTCTTGAGGTCCTCACAGGCCATCCAGAAGAGCATGTTCTCCTCACTGAATTCCGTCCTGAGGAACTCCCGGAAAGCATTTCTTCCTGCTGGAGTGTTCATAAGCTTGTCAAATGATTGGCCCCAGGAGTAAACGTCTTCAAGGGTAGGAGTTGGGCTAATAGGGAAACATAAGAAACATCAGATTTACTTCTCTACTATGAAAGAAAAAAACAGCCAACCAAACTTCAAATTCTGTATTAAATTAAAGGGGACCTCTTGAAGTCCCCCTTGCCTATGTCTTCAAGCAGATTTATCCAGATAATGTATAAAACACCAAAAATGTAGTACAATCAGTTCAAACTGATAGAATAGACAAATAAAGTAAAAATGTCCAGCAAAACATTCAATTTTAACATAAATATGCAATAGGTGAACTTAGATGGTCATTCAGTTCTGCAACAGTACCAGCACTATCAAGTGACGGGAAGGGAAGTCACATCACCCCTCCATACTACAAAAAGTAAAAAGCTGTCCCTACAAAAGAAGAGATTACATTTTTGCCACTGCCATTGCCAATGCCACTGAACACAGCTCCGTGGAAGAGGAAGCGCCTGCTGAAGTCTGCTCAGAAACCCAAACTTCCACCCCCAGCATCACTCCATAACACAGTCTTAATATGGGGGTCAACGAGAGAAATCACTCTCACAGGTGACCAGGAGATCGACACTCCTGCAGGTGTCAGCTTCTCCAAAGACTTCAGGTGAAGAGTAGGCCTGAAGGGCCTAATATGGATGGGGGGGGGCCCACATCGGTTGTTTTCTTATTTTTGTTATTGCCGGAATTTTTTTTTTACATTCAGCTGTCAGCGCTGACAGCTGATGATTCATCAGTTGTTAAGGATCGCCCACTCTTTAACAACCATGACAGATACTAGTTGTTAGGGACAGTGGCAGTCGCACACTCCTTTACAACCATGCTGGCTGGGTGCCAGCTCCTTAACAAACAGCGCTATTTCATTCCTTGAATAACACGTGGCTAGACCATGACTTATTCAACTAATGTATTTATTTATCTTTGTGAATTGACTTTAGAGTCAGTGTATGCAGTAGCTCCTAGTTTTCCCCCCAGCCCGTGCCCCCCCCCCCCCCCCCGACTTCTCCATCACGACCAACAACGCCACCATCAGTCCCACCCTGCAATCCAGAGTACTAGGTGTCATCCTACACTCCAATCTGTCTTTCCAGCCCCAGGTGCAATCGCTGACAAACTCATGTAGACTCCAACAACTCCAAAATACATCCGTTCCTAACCCTGGAACTACTAAGCAACTCATTCACTCCCTTATTATATCACAACTTGACTACTGTAACTCCCTCCTCACTGGCATACTTCACCACAGGCTATCCCCGCTTCAGTCTATCCTGAATACTGCGGCCAGACTCATCCACCTTACTAACCGCTCCGTATCCACCACCCCCCTCTGCCAATCCCTCCACTGGCTTTCGATTGCCCAACGGATAAAATTCAAAATGCTAACATTGACATACAAAGCTGTTCATAATACTGCCCCAAAATACATCACCGACCTGATATCCAAATACCACCCAAAACGTACTCTCCTCTCCTCACAAGACCTCCTACTCTCTAGTTCCCTGCTCTCCTCCTCCCATGCCCGTCTCCATGACTTCTCCAGGGCCTCCCCCATCCTCTGGAACTCCCTACCCCAATCCATCAGACTATCACCTACTCTCCTCACCTTTAGGCGCACCCTGAAAACCCATCTCTTCAGGGAAGCCTACCCCACCCTCAGCTAATTGATGATCTCCTCCACTCTTCTTACCACTCCATCCCCCACAGCTATCTCCTCCTGTACCACTATCCCCTTCCTCCTAGATTGTAAGCTCCAAGGAGCAGAGCCCTCGAACCCCTCATGTATTGAATTGTATTGTTAAGGTACTGTCTCGTGTACTGTCTCCCATTGTAATGTGCAGCGCTGAGCAAACTGTTGGCGCTATATAAATACTGTATAATAATATTTACCATTCATTTTTTACTTGTGCAGTAAATACCGCATAAACTGACTTTCTGAATATCGCATGAGATCGTTGGAAAAAATGTGTCACGTAATCCAATTATCTCAAGCGATATTCTCTAGTGAATTGAGCCCTTTGTGTGGAAAAACATCAGTAGGACAGGAAGTTAAAAACAAATCTACCTAACAGAGCAACAAATAGCAGTAAAAAGTAAAAAAAAAAAAAAGTTTCGGCCAGACATACACATTAAATAGGGCTACTTAGACACTTACAGGAGCGATGGCAGAGAAAAGACCAAGTGGTCCATCCAGTCAGCCCCAATTTTTATTTATTTATTTATTTTATTTTTTACTTTGAGTATAGATCTCTGTTTGTTCCATGCATATCTAAATCCACTTACTGTTGACTGACTTACTACCTCTGCTGGAAGTCTATTCCAATCATCAGTAAAATAATACTTTCTAATATTAGCAATAATAATTGGCACTAATTTCCCTTAGGGATTAATAAAGTATTCTGATGGTTTTGAAAAGTCCTCCTGCTAGTTCGAGATCCTACCCCCGTGTTCTTGATCTAAGGTTCATATGCAAATGTATTCCTGGTGGCAGTGGAAAAATCAACATTTTTTATCACCACTTTTTTAACCACTACCCACTTCATGACCAGGGCATTTTTTTTGCTATTCAGCACTGTGCTACTTTAACTGGCAATTGCGCAGTCATGCAACACTGTACCCAGATTAAATTTATATAATTTTTTACACACAAATAGAGCTTTTGGTGACATTTGATCAACATTTTTATTTTTTATTGTATAAACGAAAAAAGACCAACAATTTTGAAAAGAAAATTTTCTATTTTCTATTATAAAACATATCCAATAAAAAAATGTAAAATATCTAATTTCTACATAAATTTAGGCCAAAATGTATTCTGTCTTTGGTAAACAAAACCCCCAATAAGTGTATATTAATTGGTTTGTTTGAAAGTTTTAGTGCCTACAAACTATGGTGTATATATATGAAAATTGATCAATTCTAATATAATGACAGTCTATGTCATTTCTTGAGCTGCTTAAAGTGCCAGTACAGTTCAAATATCCCCCAAATTACCTCTTTTTGGAAAGTAGACAGTCTGAGATATTTAGTACAGTAAGAGGCATGGAAAAATTTTTAAAGTTGTAATTTTTTGTCTCAATTGTTTTCAAAATGATGAAATTTACAAAAAAAAGTTTTTCCTTTTTGTTTTTAACATACTGTCACCAGCGCAGTACAGCGACATAATATGACTGGTGTGGTGGTGATCAGAGACACTGGATGGTCATAGTATGTTAAAAAAAATAAATACAAATTTTTAAATAACATTTTATAAACTATTTTGTTCTTTTCTTTTTACAATTTTTTTTAACATTCTGTCATTAGAGTAGCTCAGTGTCAACACAGTTACACTGTACTACTCTGGGGGGGGGGGGGGGGGTGTAACCAGAGATTTTTGTATACTGTTATTGGTTATATATTGAAGATCACTGTATAAGCAATAGTATTTAGCTGTCTTAGCTGTCATGAATAGGTTACCCATTCATGAACAGCTTGTTTTTGGTTGTGGTCTGTGATTGGCTACAGCTAATCACATGGTACAGGTAGCCAGGTACCATGTGATTGCTGTGGGCCAATCACAAATCACAACAGTAAGCAAGCTGTTCTTGAATGGAAAGGTTGTATACATTGTTTTCATGTTATCACTATGACCAATCATAGCGATCACATTATACAAACTAGTTACCAAATACTGGTAACTGGAATCTGTAAACAGGAGAGGCACGTGATATACATGTATGTGATTGTGCCTGTATGAATATACTTACTGTGGTGGATCGGCAAGTGGGTTAAACTATCAACTCTATAGCTGAAAACATCTATATTATCTGGACAGCCCAGATAATTTTTTACAATGTTTGTGCATTCTCATGCTGCCTAATAATGCAATATTACTTATGAATACCATATTATCTATCTACTTAGTGACTCTGTTTAAGGGCTGACTGGACATGATTTATTAAAACTAGAGAATGAGCATAAGCGGAATAGTGTTGTTGTCAATAGCAATCAATCAAGTCTTACCTTTTAAACAAAAAACAAGGGCACACTCTCATCGTGCATTACCGTGGTACACCACGTATTTATTGGGAGGAGGAAACAAACAGATATATACTCACAAACCAAAAGAGAATAAAAACAGAACAGGTGGTCTGCAATATCAATCCAATGCAATACTGCGCCCTAAATAGGGATAAGCTGCAGTGCGCGCGCCTAACCCCCTTCTTGGGCAAGATACCCGGATCGTGCAAGACACTGTGTCAGTATGCTTCATCTATGTGTTTTCTCAAGTATAAATACGTGGGGGTTGTACCATGGTAATGCATGATGAGATTTTGCCCTTTTTACCACTACCCAGATTGCCCGATCTTTGAAGGCTGCCTGCACCTCACCGTTTGGCATTCCGAATACCCTTTAGTCTGCATGAAGATTTGAGTGCTGGTTTTGTTTGTTTTTGAAGTCTTACCTTTTGTTTTATAGAAAAATGAAATAAGACTTCTGACTGGTTGCTCTGAACAACTGTAATTTTGTGCATATTTTAATTTTCTCTTGTTTTTGTCATTGAGCCCTGTTGTGGTCTTCGGGCCATTAGGGTCACTTACCTTTCTTCACAGTTTGGGATGCCGTCTCCTCTGATTTCATTGGATGACCTTCTCGTCCTCTCATCTTCCTGATTTCTAACTGTGAGGCTGAAAAAATACACAATGAATTAACTCAGGATATATAGTACCTCTGCCCACGGAGAAAAAGATGTAAACAATAAAAATGAGCACTGATAGAACTCAGAATGCAGCAATTTGTCATATCTGTGGTCATATATAGTATATTATTTCCCCATTGCCTCCTTTAGAAACGTTCTAGCACTTTACTCAACACCTATGAACACACTGCTGGGCTCAAGATAATTCTGGTAGTGATGCCACTGCACAAGCAATGGTGCAGAAGAGAGATATATTTAGTTTTTTTAACAGATCTTTTTTTCAGACTTCTTCTCTGGGGGAGAAAAAACATACATTGTATCTTTTCCTCCTCACTAGAGGAGAAACAACACAGGGACTGGCTACAGAATGAATGATCACTGTGACAACCAATCACAGGCTATCACAACAATCATGTGATTGAGAGTCGGTTCTTATGGTTCTTGATCGTTAGTAGAGATCTGGAGCTGTCACCAAAGCTGGAATCATTCCTCCAGTACAAACAGAGGAGCACATATATGAGGTACCCAAGATTAAAGTCCACTTCCTGGAAGCCGCATATACAGTGGGTAAAGAAAAGAATCGCCCCCCCCCCCTTAAAGTAATCACAATTCTTAATTTGCAGCTTGAAATGAAGACAGCCACATTTTTTGTTTTATCCAGCTGTATTTACTCATCCAAACATCCAAGTGAAAGATATAGCAACAACATGTCAGAAATAAAAAAAAAATCAAAAACGGAATCACTAAATTGGAAAAATAATCACCCCCCTTGTGTCAGTATTTTGTTGAGCCACCTTTTGCTTTAAATTCCAGCCTTTAGTCTGTTGGGATATGTCTCTACTAACTTTGCACATCTACACTTTGCAATATTTGCCCATTCTTCTTTGCAGAACTGCTCAAGGTCACATAAATTCGGTGGTCACCGTTTGTGAACTGCAGTCTTCAAGTCATTCCACAGATTTTCAATGGGGTTTAAGTCTGGGCTCTGACTAGGCCATGTGAGGACATTCACCTTTTTCTCCTTCAACCACTGTGTGGTCATTTTTTCTGTGTGCTTTGGGTCATTGTCATGATGGGAGATAAACCTTCTTCCCATTGACAACTTTCTGGCAGACAGCAGCAGATTTTCCTAAAGAAGTTGACAGTATTTTGCCCCATCCATTTTTCCTTCTATCCTAAAAAGTGATCCAGTCCATGCTGTTGAGAAACACCCCATAACAGGATATTATCACCTCTATGCTTTACTGTAGGAATGGTGTTATTTGGATAGTGAGCTGGATTGGATTTCCACCAGGTATATGGTTTAGTGTTGAGGCCAAATCATTAAATGTTAGTCTCATCTGACCATAACACCTTTTTCCATGTGAGTTCAGAATCTTCAGGGTGCATTTTAGCAAAGCTCAGTACTGACTGCATGTGGCCTTTCTTGAGGAGTGGCTTTTTTCTTGCAAATCTCCAATACAAGCCCCATTTGTGGAGAATTAGTGATATTGTTGTCACAAGCACACAATGACCACTCTTTGTCATCAATTCCTGCAACTGCTTCAGAGTTACTGAAGGTGTCTTGGTAGCCTCTCTGACCAGTTTCCTCCTGGCTCTTTCATCCAGTTTGGAGCGACATCCTGATCCAGGGAGAGTCTGTGTTGTACCAAATACCTTCCACTTCTCAATAATAGACTGCATTGTGCTTCAAGGCATTGATAAAGACTTTGAAATGTTTTTGTATCCATCTCCTGACTTGTGCCTGTCCACAACTATCCCAGAGATCTTTAGACAGTGCCTTGCCACCCTCTAGTTGATTGGATTGTTTGCTTGGGTTACACTACCAGGGACTGAAATGCTCCAGGAAAGCTCTTTTCATGCTGAACTAATCAAAATGACCACTGCTGATTACAGCTGAAATCAAATGGCTTTGTGTGCCATTGAGAAGGTGATTAGCTACACTTGATTGAGTTTACAAGTCATTTTTAGGAGGGGTGATCCATTCTCAAACTCATTGATTCTGTTTCTGAATTTTCTTTATTTTTTTCTGAGATGCTGGTGTTATATCTTTCACTTGGATGTTATGACTTGTAAATACAGCTGGATAAAATAAAAACTATGTCCGTCTTCATTTCAGGTTGCAAAACAACAAAACGTAATTATTTTAAAGTGGGGTGATTCTTTTCTATACCCACTGTATGTGTTGCCTGGTTGTGAAGGAGTTAAAAGATAAAATAACAAAACCAGCCTTTGCTGCAATATTCATCTTCCCCTGCAGTACTTTTTTCTGCCAACAGATGTTTTCAGTCTAGTGGCCAGCATAATTCAACCCACTTCCCCTGAATCCAGGTCATCCTGAATCTGCCCCAGCCTATTACTGGATTGTGAATAGAAAAACAACACAGCAATGAGCTCTGTCACTCTGCTGCCTACTCCAATCAGCAAATTGTGCTTCTTCCTCTCTAACCCTTCTCTACTCTATGCAAAACTAAAGAGAAACATTTAGCTGGTGTTCTATTGTATTATTAAACTAGCATAATAGACAGACAGACAGTTCTACAAGGAGCTTGATAGTTAATACACTGCTCAAAAAAATTAAAGGAACCCTTTGAAAACACATCAGATCTCAATGGGGAAAAACATCATGCTAGGATATCTATACTAATATGGGCTGGGTAATGTGTTAGGAACGTAAGGATTCCCCATCATTTGACTGAAATGAAAATTATCAACCTACAGAGGAATAAATTCAAAGACACCCCGAAAACCAAAGGGAAAAAACAATGCAGCAGGCTAGTCCATTTTGCTGAAATTTCATTGCAGGAACTCAAAATGATACTTTTTTTAGTTTGTATGGCCCCCACGTGCTTGTATTAATGCCTGACAATGTCAGGGCATGCTCCTAATGAGATGTCGGATGGTGTCCTGGGGTATTCCTTCCCAGACATGGACCAGGGCATCACTGAGCTCCTGGACAGTCTGAGGTGCAAGCAGATGATGGACTGAAACATGATATCCCAGAGGTGTTCTATTGGTCAGGCGAGCGTAGGGGATATTCAATGATATCAATTCCTTCATCTTCCAGGAATTGCCTGCATACTCTTGCCACATGAGGCAGGGCATTGTTGTGCACCAGGAGGAATCCAGGACTCACTGCACCAGCGTGGAGTCTGACAATGGGTCCAAGGATTTCATCCCAATACCTAATGGCAGTCAGGGTGCCATTGTCTAGCCTGTAGAGGTCTGTGTGTCCCTCCATGGATATACCTCCCCAGACCATCACTGACCCACCACCAAATTGGTCATGCTGAACGATGTTACAGGCAGCATAAATTTGTCCACAGCTTCTCCAGACCCTTTCACATGTGAACCTGTTCTCAACTGTGAAAAGCACAGGGCGCCAGTGGTGGACCTGCCAACTCTGGCGTTCAATGACAAATGCCAATCGAGCTCTATGGTGCCAGGCAGTGAGCACAGGGCCCACTAGAGGATGTTGGGCCCTCAGGCCATCTTCATGAAGTCTGTTTCTGATTGTTTGGTCAGAGACATTTACACCAATGGCCTGCTGGAGGTCATTTTGTTGGGCTCTGGCTGTGCTTATCCTGTTCCTCCTTGCATAAAGGAGCAGATACTGGCCCAGCTGATGTTTTAAGAACCTTCTACGGCCCTGTCCAGTTCTGGTAGAGTAACTGCCTGTCTCCTGGAATCTCCTCCATGCTCTTGAGACTGTGCTGGGAGACAAAGCAAACCTTCTGGCAATGACACGTATTGATGTGCCATCCTAGAGGAGTTGAACTGCCTGTGCAACCTCTGTAGGGTCCAGGTATCGCCTCATGCTACCAGTAGTGACTCTGACCCTAGCCAAATGCAAAACTAGTGAAAAACAGTCAGAAAAGAGAGTAGGGAAAAAATTGTCAGTGGCCTTCACCTGTAAAACCATTCCTGTTTTGGGGGTCGTCTCATTGTTGCCCATCTAGTGCACCTGTTGTTAATTTCATTAACACCAAAGCAGCTGAAACTGATTAACAATCCCCTCTGCTACTTAACTGACAGATCAATATCCCAGGAGTTTAATTGACTTGATATTAAACTCTGATTAAAAAGTGTTCCTTTAATTTTTTTGATCAGTGTTTTTTATTTGGGGTTTACTGTGTAGGGATATTCCGTGACTGTATACGTAAATATATTAGGCACTACAGGATTTCTGCAGCATTTTGAAATAAAATATTTATTCATGGATGAGTGATATTTAGGTCAGGGAACTGTTGGATATGATACTTCCTAGTATATACATTATTTCTTTGAAAGCATGTTCATCTGTCCCTGTTGTCCATTTGTCATTTGGTATATGTTGATTATTGTTGATTACAACAACAGTAAATACATTAGACTGGCCAAAGAAATTACATATAAAAAATGGTTTCAGCAGAGTAAATTAGGAAGATGCTGGCATATGCAGGAACATGGCCTGGAGCAAAGTGAGATCACACAGTGCTCAGTGCCCACTCCTTGCTATTTCAGTAAATTGGAAGAATAGTTACAAAGAAAAATGTACTTATGTTGAATTTGTACATGTTCCAGTTTATATTATTAGAAAAAGCTTGAAAAATGTCTTATTTTAGAACATAAACAGCCTTATTCATTGTAAGCAATCCAAATGTGTTAGCTCTGTAATTCGATTTTGAACCCTTTTTGAATGCTTCCATCTTAGAACTCTGTCTATACTTCTCCCAGGTAGCTGTTTTGGCTATACAATAGGAAGAGCTGCTAGCTGAAAATACCAGGTGTCTGGCTGTTATGCTAATACACATTCTTAGTCGCAGCTTTTCCTATGAAGAACCCACTAGAGATGGTCCAAAAAGAATAGAAATAACTCATTTAAACCAGTGACACCAATGGCACAGCTGAAAAGCTTAGCAGCAGCTAATACAGCCATACTGGGAGATAGAAAGATCTCCTTCCTGGGGTCCAGGATAGCCATTAAAGCTTAAATGTAGTGAATTTTGTTGTTTTAATCAGCGCCACAGACAGTACACACAATGAATGAAAAGTGTTCCTTGTGCTGGTGACTGCTGAGTTGCTTGAAATCTTAAGTCCTCTGCCTCTGACTACACCCTCAGCTGTGATCTTCTGGTACTGCTGGGGTTAATGCGAGCGACTGCACCTATCAAAGGCACTTGTGAAAAGCTCCAACTATGCCCCCCTTGCCGCCCCCCTGCCCCATTCATAGAAGCTGTACTATCGCTTCCCACAGTGAAGAATCTATTGAATGGAGGACAGGTGGATGAATAAAAGGTCTGCCACTTTTGTTCATAGAGCACTTTTTATTGTTCAAAGTGATAGTACAGCTTCTATAAATGTGGCAGAAGGATGGAAAGGGGAGCATAGTTGGAGCTTTTCAGGGGTGCGCGTGACAGGTACAGCAGCTCCTATTAACTCCTTCAGCACTGGAAGGTCATAGATGCGAGGGTGGGGGGGGGGGGGGAGGCAAAGGAAGGAAGATTTCAAGCAACACAGGAGCAACCAGCACAAGGGACAATTTTCATTCATTGTATGTATTGTGCCTTCTGCTGATTTAAAAAAAACCCATTAGACTTATGCAGGCCATACATGGGTCGAATTCCGAACAAATTTTCTTTAGCAAATTGGAAATTTAGTGCATTTTGTAATCCAATGGTGCCACCGTTGATTTCCAAATTCAACCAACCAAGCCTTCAATGTCACCTCATGTTGCTGCAGAAAACAATTTTCGTGGCCAAGAATTTTCTTTTCTTTCCAGGTAACAGCTCATGCTAATTTTTTTTTTGTTTATATTTCCCCGCACGATTCTCCCATCATTGATTAGAAATTAGTTCGTTATTCAAAAAATTTCCAACATGCCCGATCACTCAAATGCAATGGTCACACGAAAATCGTCCATTTCTGTGACCCACTAATGGTACGAAATTTGAACGAAAATTCTTAGAAAACATTTTCGAAAGAAAATTCTTTCGGAATTCGACCCATGTATGTGCGGCTTTAGGCTTTAACAGCTATCCTAGACCCCAGTGGGTGGAGATCTTCCCAACTCCCATCATGGCTGTATTAGCTGCTACTAAGCTTTTCAGCTGTGCTGCTGGTGTCACTGGTTTAAATTAGTTATTTTTATTCTTTTTTAGACCACCTAGTGGGTTCCTTACAGGATTACTGTATGTGGAAAACTCATTTTACATGGTGATGCTAGACGCTTAACCTTTAAGAACCAGCTGCAGATTTTTTTTGCCCATTGTGGAGATTTCCCTTCACATCCTGTCCCATAGCTAAACAGGAAGTGAGAGGAAATCCCTGAAAATTAAGGGGATCCCTTGCCTCCAACCCCAGGTCATCAGAACTAGTGTCCCCATTGGAAGATTTCCCCATTTTCTGGTGACAACCCAAAATTTGGGATTTCCTTTAACTTTCATATACTTTGAAAATGGTAAACAACTGGATAATACCCCAACTGGGGTGCTGACAGCAATAAAAACCTGACACTCTATCCAAAACTAAAAAAAAATGTTTTGCCTTAAGTTATACTTTAACATCCTGGGCAATACATATTTATGTCATGTAGCTGTTAGCAAACATTTCTGCTCATACCTGGTGTATTCACAAAACAAAAACTCTGAGATGCAAATAATTATTATTTTTATTTTGGAGAGAGTAGCTGTTGATGAAAAGACTTTAGAGTTTTTTGGAACTAGTGTCCCACGAAGGGAGACTTCCCTTCACTTCCTGTAGTGTAGAGACAACAGGAAGTGAAAAGAAATCTCTCTAAAGTAATTGTAAATCGGAAAATGTGCCCTCTATTAAGATACTATATTAAGATTATGGTTAAAGTTGTCATCAGGAAAGTACAAGAGTTGCCATAACTGAAAATGCTAGTTGCCACAGAAAACAAGAGCAGAGAAGTTTGTAGTAAACAAAGGCAGGCAGTGCCATCAGTACCCTCATGACTGTAAGCCCTGCATGTAAAGGACATGGTGAGTGAAGCTTTGTAGTATGCTCCTGAGAACTCATGACTCCTAGACATGTATTTCTTATCACATTTCTTATCACATTTTATTCAAGTTTATTAAAAAATTACTGTTTTAAATGCAGTAATGTTGTGAAAAATGAATTAGCCTAAAGCCCAATTTTAGTCTGTAACAGAATCTAATAAATAGGTGAGCGCTGGCGATATCTGGGGAGCAGCTAGCACACAAGGTGAAGGTAACAATCCCCTTCAATAATAAATGCATACATATATATATATATATATATATATATATATATATATATATATATATATATATATATTGCGGAATGGTAAAGTGCAACACATAAAAGATCAAAAAACATTAGTAAATGCGAAATCTAAAATCAAACAATATGGTAAAGTGCATCATGAATGTGATGAGCTGAGTGAAACAGTAAAGTGCATCAAGTAAAAGCATGAAAATATCAGCTAAACAGCTCAAAAAGCAAATGCCAAACAATAAAGTGTATCATGGTGCCCAGGATGAATTTGATCCGGTTTAACCTTTTGGCCGCCTTCCATTCTCAAATGTTTAATGCTTGATTGCCTGTTACCAGTTTTCATCTGGTGAGTGAACGTCCAAGAGAGGTGGTGGATTCTTTTGTGTGATCAGCAGCACATTTGCACTCTGCACCTTAGTTATACTGAGCCTTATGGTTTCACAGACAATTGCTTCCATTTATGGATATTTGACTAATTTTACTCTACACCGGATAGTAAGGTCAGTTTTGGTTTAATTGCCATAGGCTAGTGCTTTTTGCCTTTTGATGTTTAATATCCTCATCACAATATATTGAATATGCCTGATTGTGTTTAATGGTTATAATGAGGTGATATGTAATGTAACTTTCACCTACCATGAGCAGCTGCAGCAACAGCACCAACAGAAGCAGCAAGCATTAGATCCCCTATTCCCAACTCCTTGCTGTGCCTGAGAGGAGCTCACAGTCTCTTGGTGCACCGACATCTGCCGCTTGCGCATCTCCATCCGCTCTGTTCCCATGGGCTGTAAGCGAAAAGAAAACCACGTAAGACAACTGAACACAGGTAAATCAGAGTCATTTTTTCCATTATGTTTACTGCAGATTAAACCTATATTCTAACTAGTTCAGTTTCTTTCCAATGATTTATCGAGAATTGAAAGTCCACATTATAATGCAACATCATTGTAAAGGTGACCAAAAACACACAAACTAGAATTGTATCTCTGCATATTCCTATAGACAAAAGTTCATATATATTTTGGAATGTCTTACAAAACCAATCTGATTCAGATCACATCACAGCATTTCAATAGGAATGAGGTCAGGAGTTTGGCTCAAAATCTTTTGTGTGATTTACTTCTGTGCTCCTTGTATCAATTGCAATTCACAGACAGACAGACAGAAGCCCCAGCATTCTGCTCAAGATTGTTATGATATATTTTGAAATCCATTAGTGCATCAACAATTACAAGTTATACAGTATATACCCTGAGGCATAGTTACATAGTTAGTCTGGATGAAAAAAGATAAAAGTCCATCCAGTTCAACCATAAAAAAAAAGTTAAAATCCTATACCCACAGTTCAGAGGAAGGCAAAATAAAAAAAAACAGCAAAGCATGATCCAATTTGCTCCTGTCGGGAAAAAAATTCCTTCCTGATCCCCTGAGAGGCAATTGGATATTTCTAGACATAACATTAATACCACCAAGTTATAAAATGATGTCAGAAGATCGCTATATTTACTAACGAATGAATAAAGTAGTTAAAAAAAAAAAAGACAAGATGACTTAAGTTTTACAAATAAACCTTTAATACAGAGTGCATCTATGACATTGATAGTAGCATTATGTATTTTCAAAGAGAAAACACAGTGGTAGCAGCCTTGCTTTATACTGTCTCGCTCTCTCTCCCTATGTATGGGCAGTTATGCAGAACAGTAAGAGAAGGTGGAAGGAGGGTGGATGTGTCGCTTCTCCAACCTCTTTGTATAAACAAAGCTTCAGTTATTGAGCTTAGTAAAATAAAAAAAATTAACAAAGCGGGTAAACTTAGCTTAGTTTACCTGTGACAAGGAGCTAACAATCTCACCAGCTGGTGGGAAATAGGTAAATATTACATTTTTGTGTCATATTTGCCTGACTAAACCAATAAAATATTTTAAAATGCTATTTTCTTGGTCCTGAAAAAATAAATGTATACAAACAATATTATACATTCCCTTTAATTTCCAATGCCAGTATCTTCTTCTAGATCCTAGCTGGCAGGTTTTTTTTTAGCAAATTGGAGAGTATGGTAACTGTGAGTCTTTACAAGCCTTGAATCAGCTGAGGCTGAAAAAAATCCCACACTGAAAGCTAGATCAGGGTTTGTGATCAGTATTGACCCCCAGTAGTGGATAGAACTATTCAGGAGACTGATAAAATTACTCTGTGTCAGCAAATGTCAGGGTGGCCAATAAATAATCAAAAGTTTATTGGGCTCAATTAATCTTTTGAGGTTTCTGTGGAGCTCCATGCCAGTCCATACTCCTGGTGATGAGGGATTGGTCTTGGGTCCCAGGGTTGGATGCTCAGCTGTCAGTACCACAGTCATGAGTAGGCTCTATCAGCTGTGTGTTGTTATTGGCCCATTTAGCAGTATTATTTGCATTGTGTTTCTGTGGCTTTCTACTCTACTTATAGGATATTAATCTCCCACCTCAACCTCTGCTGGAGAACTAGTGAGTAGCCCCACTTTAAAGTCTGTTGGAGAGCTAGTAAGTACATCCTCCTCAAACTCTGTTGAAGAGCTAGCGAGTATACCCAACTCAACCTCTGTTGAAGAGCCAGTGAGTACACCTTCCTCAAACTCTGAGGGAGAGAACTAGTGAGTACACCAACCTCAATCTCTGCTGAAGAGCCAGTGAGTACACCCCCACCTCAAACCCTGTTGGAGAACTAGTGAGTACACCTATCTCTGCTGAAGTGCCAGCAAGTGCACCCACCTCAAATTCTGTTCAAGAACTAGTGAGTACACCTACCTCAACCTCTGTTGAGGAACCAGGTAGTACACCCACCTCAAACTCTGCTGGAGAACTAGTGAGTTCACCTGCCTCAAATTTTGGTGGAGACCTAATGAGTACACCCATCTCAAATTCTGTTGGAGACCTAGTGAGTATACCCACCTTATTCTCTGCTGAGGAACTAGTGAGTACTTGTAATAAAGTTGACTTTTTTTATATCAATGTGTATGCTCTGTGACCCTCATATACAGTGCCTTTAAAAAGTATTCATACTCCTTGAAATTTTCCACATTTTGTCATGTTACAACCAAAAACATAAATGTATTTTATTGGGATTTTATGTGATAGACCAACAGAAAGTTGCATATAATTGTGAAGTGGAAGGAAAATGATAAATAAATATGTGAAAAGTGTGGCGTGCATTTGTATTTAGCCCCCGAGTCAATACTTTGCAGAACCACCTTTCACTAGGCAGTAGGCAATCAGATATTCCTAGGATCAATGGTCATTGGTGCTATTACCATAAATGTTAATTTCCTGGTAACACAAACTATTGAGCTGGCCAGAACTAAAGTCTTGATTGAGTCTATTCCAAATTTTCACAGCTCTTACTGTGAAGAAGCCTTTCCATGTGTGGAGGTTAAATCTCTTTTCTTCTAGATTTAAAGTGTGTACCTTGTCATTTATAACGACCTATAGCTGCTACAGTTTATTAAAATGTGTAGTACTCTGAAAAGGCCATATTTCTTCACTCCCAAGCATTTCATTCTACCACAGTTGGATTGTATTTACAGATCCTTATCTGACCATAGGGTTACATCACTAGAACTGATTTCAGCACATGTAATCCAGACAGTGATGTGCTGCCTGGCAAGCTTCATTTGTTTTATTTGTGCGAGAACACGAGACATATAAGCCAATATAAATTCTTTCCAAACATTCTCCATTGCCACAGAAGCGAATGTAAAACAAACAGGTATTGGCACACCATAATGGACAATGGCTCTTTCAGCCAATCGAACTGGAGGCAGGTATTTAGTTTGCAAATAAAAATGAGAAATGGAATTATTGGGAAGAACAAGAGTAAGCTGTGTCTGGAAAATGAAGCATTGTTCCCATGCTGCATTAGACAAATGTTTATCCGTAAGATAAAACAATTTGCATGCTGGCTACCAGGTGCACAGCCTGGAAATAGCCAAGGGTGAATTGAGTCCCCCAGAGAGCACAGTTCTGTAAGTGCCATCATTTCTTATTTAATTATCTGCTGCAAGCCAGGTAAAAATAACAAAACATCATGGCATGACAAGTTCGTTTGTCACATCATTACACCTGTGTGGCTAGTTTCTTCATCATATTGCACAAGAGAAGGCTATGGCTCTCTACGACCCGGACTGGTAGATCCACCATTGCTTGAGGACCACACATCGCCTATGACTACTACAGAGTCTATACAAAAAGTAATCTCCATTTTATGTAACAACATGCTGTTATGTTCTGACGTTCGTACACTTTTCTGAGCAGGCCTGTCTCATTGTATCTTATTTTCCTGTTTTCCAATGCAGCTGTATGTACATCAGTTGTTAAAGTGGTTCTAAAACCTCAAGGTTTTTTACCTTAGTGCATTCTATGCATTAAGGTGAAAAAAACCTTCTGTGTCACAAACTGGCCCCCTCACCCCCCTTATACTTACCTGAGCCCCATCCAGATCCAGTGCCATGTACGAGAGCTGTAGCTCTCCTGGCTTTGTCCCTCCTCACTGGCTAGTTCAATAGCAGCAGGAGCCATTGTCTAGCCTAGCACTCCAGCTTGGACCAATGTAAATATGGATGTGACATGGGCTGTCAATGATTCCAAGCGCAGTAAAGAGCCATCCATATGTGGATAAAACCATTGCAAAAGATATGAGCACCCCACTGCTGCTGCAATGAACACCTGTGTAGTGAATCCAAGAACATCAAAGAAATCAGCGCTGTGAGAGTAACTTGGAATATATCCTCACATAAAAGAGTCAAATGATGACAATGGATGAGGGGAGGCCTTGATAAGGCGTATGCACGTGAAACGTGTTGTCTAGGTTACCAGCCTCCATCTTTGGCTTGCGGTCCAAGGCAGGATCTTCACTTCCGCTTCCTCCGTAGACCGCGGTGACGTGGTCCATCGCTAGGGACAGGAGTTCCCTCTGCCCTACACCTTCACATCGGAGCAGATGGACCGTCCACCCTGGCCCAGGCCACCCCTCATCCATTGTGATCATCATTTGACTCTTTTATGTAATAAAGGTACACCTCCTAGTGAGGATATATTCCAAGTCACTCTCACAGTGCTGATTTCTTTGATGTTTATGGATGTGACATGCCTGTGAGATCCCCATGGAAGCTGGACATCACTGTAGTAGGCTCTCCTACTTCAGTGATCTCCACTAGATACTGGGTCCCGTGCCAAGTGGCTGCCCAAAAGCTGGTCCAAACAAACTATCACGTTCACTAACAGATGTGCCCATTGGGAGCACTGTATAAACTATATGTAACCTCAGCTACAAACAGTATACAGCGTTGTGTTCTTGCAGCAGGATGGGGACTTCCTGTGCCATTCCCATTCCTGCTCAGACCTTTACAGAAGGCTTTGTATTTTCTGAATGAATACATGGCTTCCTCTGAGGTGGAAAGTTGAGCAGATGCAATCATGATCTCCACCTAAGAGGAGCCAATCGAAAAAAGGACTCGACTCGATTTTGTTCTGGAAGAAGGATGGAAAGTTCCTATACCACTGCAGAAACACAGCTTATGCTGCATACTCTTTATATAGTGTTCTCAGCAGGCACATCTATTAGTGAAGGGAATAATTCATTTGGACCAGCTTGGCCCAAACAAACTATTTAAAAGTGACAGAAAGCTGGCGATTGGCTTTAAAGCTGAAGTTTTATCTGTTTATATTCTGCCCTACCGAGTTCTTCCTTTCCTCATCATCAAGGTACCAACAATTTTTAAAATAAAACATATCTGTTTTCATTACACACCTTATTTTAGAT